AGGCGGATCATGTCGAGATGTTGATGGCTGGTTGGCCGTCGAAACTTGAAGAAGTTGTTCGAAGTGCTCAAACCAGCGTTTCAGCTGGTCAGTGGGGTCGGTAAGCAATTGTCCAGTCGTGTCCTTCACTGGCATCCTCGGGTTTATCCTTGCTCCACTCAGGCGTCGTGCGTGAGATATCGTAGAGGAGGCGTATATCGCCAGTGTTTGTGGCTTTCTCCCCTTCGTCGGCCAGGGAGTTCACCCACGCTTGCTTGTCCCGTCTGCAAGAGCGCTTGACTTCCTTCTCTAGAGCCGAGTACCGTTGACGGGCTTCGTTCTTGCTTCTCTACGCTCCTCAATCTTCCGCCAGGTTTCATCTGTGATCCACTCTTTCCTCTGGGTGCGCAGCTCACCCAAGTTGTTCTCGCTTGTTTCTATAAAGGCATTCTTGATGGCCGTCCATTGTTCTTCTACGCTGCCACCTTCTGGAACGTCCGCAGATCGAGTCTCAAGTTCTTCAACAAAAGACCTTTTTACCGCTGGATCTTCAAGTCAGCGTGTGTTGAACCGCCACCCGAGTCTCTCCTCCCGTCGCTGAATCCACGCCATGCGTAGGCGGATTTCACCGATTAGAAGGTGATGGTCAGACGCGATGTCGGCGCTGCGTTTATTCCGGACATCAAGAAGGCTCCGTCTCCATTTTCGGCTGATGCAGATGTGGTCGATCTGATTCTCGGTATGTCCATCACGGGAAACCCACGTGACTTTGTGCACTGGCCGATGGGGGAAGAGCGAGCCCCCGATCACCATGTCGTTATTGCCACAAAATTCTGCAAACAGCTCACCGTTCTCGCTCATTTCGCCGAGACCATGACGTCCCATGACACGCTCATAGCCCGTGTTGTCGGAGCCGATCTTCGCATTGAAGTCGCCAGTGTAGATCTTGATGTCACCCTTTGGAACCTTATCCACGACGGCATTCAGTTGACTGTAAAAATTCTTCTTGTCCTGTAGCTCGGCAGCATCGGTTGGCGCATAACATTGGATTATGGTAAGGTTACGAACCCGTGTTCTAAATCTGGCAACGATTATCCTCTCGTTAACAGGCTCCCACTTGATCAGCGCAGCACTTGCCTGGACGCTAAGTAGCAGACCAACTCCACGATGGCGGGGAGCGATTTCACCTCGAATACCAGAGTATAGTAGTACCTGTCCCGACGGCAGTTTGTGTTCTCCAAAGTTAGGCCAACGAACTTCACTCAGTCCCAGGATTTCTAGCTTCATGCGTCGCGCCTCGTTGGCGAGTTGTGCCAGTTTACCCTGCTGGGATAACGTCGATACGAAACTGAACCTTCCGTACGGGTGACACGGATACCCAAACAGCTCGTCGCAGGTCCCAAACCCTTCATCCGGAATGTACTGCTTAGCTTGGCCTTCAGGCTATTCTTCAGCGCGACATCGTTGGAAAATATTAGCACGTCGTCAACGTACACCGCAACGAACAAAATCTTCCCATCTTCGATCCAATAGTACAGGCACTCCGAATGGATGAGTCCCAGCTTCTTCAGCGCGGCGTCCAGTTTGATGTTCCAGACCCTACTGGATTGCTTGAGACCATAGAGCACTTTGTTCAAACGACATACCAGTTGTCGTCTTCCGGTGTTCATGAAACAAGGCGGTTGTTCCATGAAAATCTCCTCTTCCAGATCTCCCTGCAGGAACGCGGTGAAGGCATCCATCTGGTGAACTGTGACGAACGACAGGAGAGTAAGTTTTGTCGTGGTCCACCCCCTTTCGCTGCGAGTATCCCTTGATCACCAAGCGAGCTTTTTAGCTGTCAACATTACCACTAGCGTCGTGCTTCGTCTTGTAGACCCATTTACATTTGATGGCCTTTCGGTAGCTTCGTCAACGTCCAGGTTTTGTTGTTGATCAGCGCGTCGTACTCCTCTTTCATCGCCGTCTCCCAGCGTACGGAGTCGTCTCTGGACAATGCCTCCTGGTGTGTCACCGGATCATCATCCATCCTCCTAGCGTCGGCTTGAATTGAAGAATCCGCCATTCCGCTGAACTGACCCTGGTTGTCAGTGCTCATTAACGACCCATCGCCGTCGAGATTGGTATTACAGGTGGTGCTCTGTGGGGGAATAATATGCGGCAGACCTTTGTGTGACAGTTGAAAATCATCATAATTGCCTGGTAGCCTGTGCTCCCGACCGCTGCGCCTCAACACCTGTGACTGAGGTGGATTTGAAGATTGTCGCGGTGGGAGCACGGAAGTCACGTCGATCTCGGAATCTGTGGACAAGTCGCTCTCACTGCTGCTATTTTCATCGGTGAAAAATTCTTCTTCGGACTCATCTGGCTGCGGTTGCAACGGGGCTTCGTCTAGAGACAGCGAAACGACATCCTCGATGTCAAGCTGTACCAGCGTGGGACGTTGGGAGACTTCACGATTGATTTCATCGATGAATGTGACTTCTCGGCTCTTGATGATGTTCCTGTATTTTGGATCGTACAGCCTGTACCCTTTGACGCCCTCGTCGAAACCAGAAAAGATACACTCACGGGATTTCGGATCCCACTTCTTCCGCTTTGGCTTCGGAATGAACGCCATCGTTTTGGTTCCAAATACTCGAACGTGGGACAGGTTCGGCCTTTTCCCAGTCCAAGCTTCTTCGGGAGTGACATCGTGGCCATGCGTTGGAGATCGACTTAACAGATATACGGCCGTCGAGACAGCTTCCGCCCAAGCATGCACCGAGCACGCTCCACAATCGATGTGTTCGCTCGTTCTGCCATGCCGTTCTGCTCCGGAGTGTAGTCCTTCGTCTTCTGATGCCGTATGCCGTGCTGCTTCAAATAGCCTTCGAAACCACGGTTCACATACTCCTTCCCGTTGTCGGTTCGTAACATCTTTAATTCCTTGAATGCCTTCAAGCCGTCCGCTTCAGACTTCGACTTGCGGAAGTACACCCACATGCGCCGGGATTTATCGTCTACGACGAAGACAATATAATAACGACTACCTCCTAGGGAACTCACCTCCATTGGTCCGCAGATGTCGGAGTGAACGACGTCGAGCTTCTCGGGAGCACGAGAGCCTTATTTGCTGAACGGATGACGACACTGCTTACCCATGGCACAAACTTTGCAGTTTCCATGGTTACCGCTGTTGATTTTCACGCCATCGACCAAACCATCGGCGAGCCGCCGAATGCTCTTGACGTTCAAGTGGCCCAATCTTCGATGCCAAACCTCTAAGCTCACGGAAGACGACCAAGCTAGCACGCTTTTCGTATCTTTCCGATGCTGTTACAATTTGAAAAGATTGTTGTCTTGGATACCTGTTGCAATCACGTCGCCGTCCATATCGACCACTTTGCATCCGTCGTTGGGGATAATAACGGTGTGTCCCTTATTCACAATTTGGCTCACGGACAGCAGGTTTGCACTGAGCTCCGGTAGCAGCTGAACTTCCTTCACTGGGCTGGCCTCTTGCTGGCACTGTGGCTTCAGTACCGTTGAGCCCGTTGCTACCACCTTCATGCTGCCGCCGTTTGCAGCTACTACTGTGCCGGCAGAACGCTTCATGTTCTCCAGCAGGTTTTGATTCCGGGTCATATGCCCGCTTGCACCCGAATCGAAAAACCAGTCATCCTTGTCAGTTGAACTGAACGTTGAAAGAACTTTCGCGATGTGCCCAAACTTGTGGCATTTCCGACACTTTGGTCCTTTCGGGGGGTCGAGTTTTTTCGTATGCTTACCCTCGTGCCTTCCACTGCGATTTGCTCCTTTGCTTGTGGCCAACGCCGAGTCTAGAGATGAAACCTGGATCTCTTGAAGAAGCTTCGTTTTGATGGCATATCTGGTGATGGGCGTTCCCGAGTTCTCGAGGGCGATAATCATGGGACGATACTCAGCAGGAAGCCCGGCCAGCAACAATGTGCCAACCCACTCCGCAGAAATCGCAAAACCAATGACAGCCAGCTGGTGCGCTGTCGACACGATTTGATTGGCGTAGTCGGCCATGGAATCACACGATGACAGCTCCGTCTTGATCAGCTTGTGGAGAAGCCCGACTCGTCTGGTTAGGCCCGAGTCCTCGAAGGCGGTCTCCAGCTTGGACCATACTTGCTGCGCTGTTTCTGCTTCCCGAACGTGGACGTAATTCACCGGGTGCAGTGTAGGATGACCTTCGCACGCGCCTTCCGATCTTTCCCAGCGTCTACCGCTTCGTAGGTACCGTCCACTTTCCGCTTCTGCTCCAGATACGTTTGCACCGCAAACTTCCAGCTGGCCCACTTCTCCCGACCGATGAGGCGTTCAATTCCGGATAAGATTGAAATTGACTGGACGTAACTACCGGCTCCGCTTGATCCGCTTGCGCTTAAGACATCTTCTCTACTTTTCGGTGAATTTTTTTTCTTGATCTTCTAGAAACTTCCTAGACGCAGCTTACTGATCTTCAACAAAAACAAACATAGTGTAGTACTAGAAGTTTGCCTAGAATGTGGTACGTTAATCGATTTGCTTGGGACCAATAGGCTAGTCAAGTAGTGAGCCAATTTTAAATCGTTAGTTTCCACCGGTTTGTATTACCACAGGGAAGTATTACTCAACGCTGAGAAACCTACATTTTTAGAAATTTCTCTTTCACTAGCAGTAGCAGTTATTAAATTTTCTCTCTGACGAGATTGAACAATCGTGTACAAGTTCGACAAAATTGCATACATTTTGGCGAATCAGACACACCACATTACATTGGAGTGCAATGGAAGTTTACACCATTATGAGGTTGTTCACGTTTACCGTGCGAATACCCCCAGCGAAATCGCCCAAATGTAGGCGATCGAAACACATAACTCGAAGCTTCCCGGTCCGCTTGCTCGCCTGGTGGATAGTCTTTCGGCAAGGCTTTCTCTAAAATCTCTAATCTTCCATCCATGCTTGTTAGCAACATTTTTTCGTGTATTGTTAAAATATAAAAGATCATTAACTTTTTATACAGAAAAACATATAAAATCGTCGTGTACAATTACCTCCTATATCGATAGAAACTGCTGATCCTTGTAGTAGGCATCAATCTCGTCAAAGTATTCGAATTTAACCGCGGCCTTATCATTCAGCCGCAGTCGCGATCGACATTCCTTGTAGCTCCGGAAAAGATTGTTCCACCGCGTCCGACAGTCTCTGGGTGTTCGCTGCAAATATGAACATGTGAAAACCCTTGCCCTTGCTGATATTCAAATCAGAAAAAAAAATTACATTTATGTGCAGTTCAATCAGCTTGTTCGAGATGCACTCGAACAAATTGTACCCCTTGAACTTTGGCCTCAGATCGCAGTGGATCTTGATCAGCAGTACCGTCTGGATTCGATTCCACGCGGGAAAGATATTCTTCCGCACTTTCAGTCGGGGCATTTCCGGCTTCTTGACCACCTCCTCGCTGCTTCCCGCGCTCCCGGATTGCGCATCCCCGTTGAATTCATCGTCATCTTCATCCTCTTCCTCGTCGCCGGATTCCACCTCGATCGGAATCACCGAACTACTACCTTCCGCTTCTTCTTCCTCCTCCGCTTCCTCTTCTTCGTCCATAATGTCCTCCTTGATCTTCGTCTCCTCCGGTTTCTTCTCTACCTTCACCGGAGCAACTTTTTCCACCACTTTCTTCGTCGGCGGTGGTACGATTTTTACCTCCAAACTCTTCTTCAAGCACGAATGAATCCCCCGTAGAACCTTCAGTATCTCTTCGGCCATCAACTGCCCCCGGGCTCGGTCCTGCTCCTTCTGTCGGTAGTGTTCCTGCTTAATTTGTAGCAACATGTTCTGATTCGTGTAGTAGAGCAACTTTTGCTCCATCAATCTCAGCTTCAAATCTTCCAACCCGTTATTGACCGTCAACGAAGTCGTCAGCTCTTCATCTCCATCATGTTCGTTCCGATTGTCCGGCGATTCCACGTACTCATCTTCCGTCTGCGTGGAATCCATCATCATGCTATCCAAACCCACTACCCTTGCAGCTTCTCCTTCTCCTCCCCCACCGCCATCCACTGCGTAGGAACTGTCCTCGAAGATGTCATCCAGGAAAATCTCCGACTTGCACTTATTATTCGCATTGTCCCCAACTGCGATGTTCGCGTAATACTGGTGGAACGTATCAAAATATGGAAATCGCATCTTGCAAATCTTCCCACCGTTTTCTAGTCGCTTGACACAGGTCCGGTACGTTTTCAGCAGATTGTTGAAACGGGTCTGGCAGGCGGCAGCATTTTTCTAAAAACGAAAACCATCATAATAACGATTATCCGGGTATGTACCATTACGAACCGGCCGTTGCACTCACATAGAAGTTATGCTTCTGGGCCAGGTAGCTGGAGATTTGATCGTAGACCTTGTCGCTGCGGGCGCATCCGAACAGCTCCAGCCGCTTTCGAATCAGAAGGTGCGTTTCCTCGATGGTCCAGTTGCTGGTGCTCATATTCATGGGTTCGGCGGGAAGACGAAACCGGAGGCAAACATAAAACAAAAATCACACGAACGTAACACTTATTTAAAATATTATTTTGCTGAAACGGCAACTACAGTAAACAACGCGTATAAACCGTTCTTCGCTTCGCTTTTGGTATTTTTATCTGGAATTCCGATAAACAACGCAGATTCCCCCGCGGAAGCGGTTTGTTTGTAAATAAATGGATGTCAAAATGGATGTTAGCAAATGTTCGAAAATAGACCCGTGCCGATTTTAAGGTAAAATGTTTATATTGGGTTGTAGGAATGAAGCAGTATACTTTTTCCGAAACTTATCACCATTAAAAAAGGGGCTTGTCAAATTTGTATGAAATTTTGCATAATTCAGTGCCAACATTTCAAAGGGGCGTAATTGTATTTGTAAACAATGGCTTTAGCCGTCGATTTCTCGCAAATAAAAGCTCACTCATGAAAATTAATTACACCAGCAGATAGAGGAATGTTTCCTCTATCAGCTAGCATTGTTAATTTGAAGGAGTGAGCTTTTATTTGCGAGAAATCGACGGCTAAAGCCATTGTTTACAAAAGCAATTACGCCCCTTTGAAATGTTGGCACTGAATTGTTTGTTATGGGCAATGATTAAATGGTCTAGTATTTTTTTTTTCAAAATGGCGTCTTTGAAATTTTTCAAAAAATTGTAGCACGGAAACGGCATTTTTGATCGAATGACGTCTGAGACTAAGGCTGCACAAAGCGAAGATCAATTATTTTACCCATGTGTTTTACTTATACATTTTTACCAAAACATCAGCCTTATACATTCCATAAGACAAATCACATAGGTCCTATAGAGTTTTTTGACGTTTAATCGGCGCACACTACTGCACCATTTAAATCGAACGAGTGCGAGCAAGAGGGAAACAGTTTAGTGGGAAAACAAGCCATGCATTCATCCATGTGTGCTAGAAAGAGAAAGACGATTACACGTCAAAAAGGCCTATAAGAATGACTAAAAAGTATGTGTAACCGCTTATACATTTCATTTGACTCATGATCTTCATTAACTTTTTGAAAGACGTCTCTGCTTATTACTTGACTTATACATTTTATGAATAATCAGCAATAGAAATTTGCCAAAAGGTATAAGGAGATTTCTATCCGTGTGTGTTCCATTTGGTGAATTTTCTCTTAAATTTGACAGATGGAAAATTTTCAAATAAACCTGCTATTCCAGCAGGCTTATTTCTGACAGACCAGCAATCAATTTTGAATACACCTTCTCGAAAATCAAATGATCAACAACAAAAGGAATTAACGAACATTTTAATTAATTTTCGAAGTGTCAAATTTTTAGTGAATATTTACCAAATGGAACACAGCCTAAGGTTGTGTTCCATTTGGTGAATTTTCACTTAAATTTGACATTTCAAAAATAAATTAAGATGTTCGGAAATCCCTTTGTTGTTGATCGGTCGATTTTCGAGAAGGTGCATGTCAAAATTGATTCCTGGTCTATCAGAAATAAGTCTGCTGGAATAGCAGGTTTATTTGAAAATTTTCCATCTGTACACGGCTAATCATACCAACTCAGTGACTGAGAATAATTGACTCAGAGAATTTTCTTTCCATACGAAAATTACTCAGATTTGGAAGAAACTACAGTTACTCATAATTAAGAGATAAACTAGCCTATGGCTAAAAATCTCTCTAATAAAGAAAAAAAAAAAAAGTTACTCATAAGCTATGAGTAACTGCAGTTTCTTCCAAATCTGAGTAAATTTCGTATGGAAAGAAAATTCTCTAAGTCAATTATTCTAAGCCGCTGAGTTGGTATGATTGGCCGTGTAAAATTTAAGTGAAAATTCACCAAATGGAACATAGCCTAATGGGTAGATTTTTACCCATTTCTGGGTAAGTTTTAGAATAGTGTGAGAATACAAAAAATAAATGCATGGTTTTGTTTTTGGAAGTGTGTTCTACCAAATTTAAAAGTAATAATTATCCCCTAAAAGTGTCCCGATCCAGATTTAACTGTTTGGAATGTGTAGCTCGCATATTTCTGCACCCGTGGAATATTGAATCCATCATCGAGCGGTAAAATCCGTCGCCGGAAGAGTGCAGTTTTCTTTAAGTGGAAGAAGGGGATCAGGCGGACGGGAGTTCGGCGCTGCATTATTCGGAGGAATCATCTGGTCCTAGTTAAGGAAGTGTTCACTATGGTGGTGCAGCAAACATGGGCACAATTTCACAGATGAGTGGGGATTTCCGTCTATGTGTACGGTTAACAAACGCCAGTTACCAAGGGCCACTTTGTGCAGCTCGAAACGAAACATTTTTTGTACGAATGGTCGCATGAAAAAGTTTTTCGTTGCAATACTTTACTCAGGCTCTGAACCATTTGGTGGATTATTTTTAATTTTGGTTAAAATTTGACAGATGGAAAGTTATAGATTAACCCGAGGGGGGCAACACATCTAAATCTCAATTCTAGATGCTCAACTAATCTCACACTAGCGAATCAATCTTCGAAAAATCTTCTTTCATTTCTCGCATCTACTTGCATCGTACATCATCTTTTTGCAGGAAATCTTCAGAATCGTCGTCAATCTTGTTTCTATCTACTCAGCGTGCACGCAGCTAGCCATAGCAAAAGCACAATCTTTCCTGCATCGTAGATAGAGTCGTCCCCCACGGATTAACCCTGCTATCCGAGCATGGTTATTTCTGACAGACAAGAAGTTAAATTTTGACAACCTTGGCTAAGTTCTTCTCGAAAAACCGGTCGATCGACAGCACAGGGATTTTCGAACATAGAAAATAACTTTCGAAATGTCACTTTTAACCACGAGTTAAATTTAACTCGGTAAATGGTTCACAGCCTCAGTCGATAGCAGCACTCCTAAGATGATAGGCTGTATTCCATTTGCTGAATTTTCACTCAAATTTTACACTTTGAAAATAAATTATAATGTTCGAAAATCCCTCTCTTGTTGATCTTCCGATTTTCGAGAAGGTGGTTGTCAAAATTGATTCCTGATCCGTCAGCAGAAAGTCTGCCATAATAATTTTGCTTAACGACGTGCTCGAGGTATCATCCAAACAATTTTTGGAATAGTTCTATAATTTGGGTTATCGTTCATTTATGGTATTATTTTTATTGGGGTGGTGTAGTATAGAGTCGGTGTATAATGAGTCACGCCAAGAGAAAAACAGTTGAACTCGCATCACGGTTTTTGAAGGATTCCCTTTCTTTTCACTTGGCAACAGAGGACTTCTACATCAACTTCAAACCTGTTTGGTTTTCACAAAGTGTACCCCCATATAGAAATCAAAGACGTAGTCCTACGTCAAAAATAACCATACAACTACCATAAAATAAAATACAATTACATTCAAATATATTGCCAACAATCGATCTTATTTTGCATATATTTTTCAAGAAATTTTAACATTGTTATTACAATAGATCTACAATATGTCCCATATAGTATGAATTTTCAACAATGGAAAAACAATAAAATTAATGGTAAATGGCTCAAGTTTGTTCGGGAAAAAGTGATTTTTTTGTACCGTTAAGATACATAATAAACCCCTTGTTCTATTGTAGATTTCCCCATTTACCATATATTATATTGTGCAAACATTAAATTCTATGGTTATTTTATAGTTGTGGACGATACAATTTATTTTGAGTACAATAAATTCTATTGTATGGTTACAATGGGCCGTATGAATAAAAAGAGTTTACTTTACTTTCCCGTGCTTTTCTTACGGGAAAAGTAAAGTAAACGCTTTTATTCATACGACCTAATAAGTTTCACTGTACCTATATCGCTCTTTTTTTTTACGGGCTGCCACTGGGTTGAACTCCGCGGTTCGCTTCGGGTGACACTACGCATCGTGACTTGAGGCAGTGATCCCAGCGCCAACATAGGGCAAAAACCGAGGCAAAAACTGCTTTTGCTGGAAGCAGAAAAGAGATGATGTTTTGGTGCAGTTTGTAATTCCGCGACATTTTTCCTCGCATTTTTCCAATCGGGCTTCATGTTCGAAAATCTGCTTTATCGACCTGTTTCGATCTTCAGAGGGAAACTGTCAGAAATGGAAGAAAAACTCCTAAACAAAATCAAAACAATCAGAAAGAAACCAGCGGTTCACGGTTTTGTAATCAGTCGTGGAGTCCCGGTGCGCATAATAATAGTAACATTATAAATATATTATATTTTTAGCTCCGTATAGTTTGTGATAAAGCCATGTCCCGGTTCAAGACGTTCGTGAACAAAAACCTGGTCGTAATCGTTATGATCCCTTCGTTGATCGGCATCCACTGGGGTTGGTACCAGCTGCATCAGAACGATGCCCTCGTTCCGCCCGACCAGCGACATGACATACCTCTAGTCAAAGTAAAACATTACCTTGGACCGATCTATGAATTTCGTATGATTCCGATTTATAAATCCATTGCAGATGCTCAAAAGGGGCTGGAACACGATCACCAGCGGTGGCGCCGAATCGACGCCTCCACCACCACCAGGAAACGAGGCCAAGTGAGGAGAGTCAAGATTTTGGGGGGTTTGTAAAATGATTGTAAATAAAAGTGATTTTGATTACTTTTTAGAATAGGGTAAACTGTCTGTCATAATAAGTAGCTAAAAGATAATCTCACACAATCAAGCACATGAAAGCTAACGAATTTGAATGGCTCAGGGTTTAGAATTCTTCACTGCAAGCAGCAGTTGTAGTTGGCCGCCGGGCTATTTTCCATCTCTTCGAGAATCTGCGCCGATCGAACGGATTTTATGTGCTCGGCTTCCTCCATCCAGCAGACGATTTGCTGGTGCAGAAGATCTCGGCGTTTGGATCCCCGCGGCTCTTCGGCCAGCAGTGGCATCAAGGCACCCAGTACGGTTTTTAAGGACTCCAGCGCTACGTCCAATTTGTTCTCCAGGGCGTATAGTTCGGCTTGCCGACCGATTTCCAGGGCAGATTTCAACTCCGGACTAGATGACGCCAAGGCCGTCAGTTGTTGGTACAGTTCGGAAGGTTGGAGGGCCCTCTGGATTTGCTGTACTCGCGAAGCTGTTCGGTTTAGCGGTTTCGAAGATGAAGCCTTGCTTGGAACTTCCTGTTGGAAGGAATGTTTGATCTCTTCTGCCCTGTTCAGGTAGGTCTGAACTCGCTGCCGAAGAACCTTCTTCTTGTCGGGATCAGTTTCGGCCTGAATTATGGGGACAAAGAACTGTAGCCCTTTGCAGTACTTGCCATAGGCCGCGTCATATTCCTGCTTCTTGTCTAGTTCAATGGCTTCATTAATCAGCTCGATGGCTTTTTCTAGATTTTGCTCGGAAGGTGCATGTTTAAGATCCAAAAATGGGTGCTTAAAGAATTCCTCAAACGTGATCCGATCCTTCGGAGACCGTTGTAGCAATCTGCACAGCAGATCCTCGCCCTCCGGTGAGATGCGATGCGCCTTAGGAATTTCGATCCTCTTTTCCGATCGTATCTTATCCAGCAACTCCTGCAAAGTCTTGGAACTGTACGGTGCTCTGCCGAACAAACACTCATACAGAATCACTCCAATGCTCCACAAATCCGCCGTTGGATCGTAGCAGTGTTTCAGCAGAATCTCCGGAGCCATGTAGAGAGGCGATCCTTTAATCGAGGTATTTTCCTGGCCCAGCTTCAAATGCTGTGCAAAGCCAAAATCCGCCACTTTTAGCATCGGTGCGCCTTCGCTTCCACCCCTCATCAGCAGCAGATTCTGCGGTTTTAAATCGAAATGGCTGACTTCGTTCTCGCGCATGTACCTCAACGCCAGGGCCAGCTGCCGTAGGAATATCCTGCACGTAGTTTCGCTCAGCTTCTGCCGCTGCCGAATGTACGCCGATAGGCTCCCCCCGTTGCAGTACTCCATCACGATGTAGATGCACCGTTCGTCCCACAGAAAGTCCTTCATCTCCACAATGTGCCGATGCTTGAGCTTCTTCAGCAAGCTGATCTCCGTGATGATGTTGTCCACGGCCGTTTTCGACAGCGACGCCTTCTCCACGCATTTGATGGCGTAGATTTCCTTCGTTACCTGTAACGAAACAAATCCGTTTGAATTCCACGTACATATAAAGTATGAAACGTCCGGGAAGAACCTTATGCATCGCGCGGAATACGGTGGCGTACGAGCCGCTACCGATCCGCTCCAGCATCTGGTACTCGGTAATGCTAGGCCTCCGGGTGGTCATTCTAAATTGCTCCCTATCCGGATGGGGTTGGATTCATGTCTCACGAACTGCTTCAAATCAGCTTGAATTTTACACTGCTGCACATTGCTGTACAGGTATCCGGAGGCAGCGGCCTTGGACACACGAATTAAACTTGTTGAATGTGTGACCTTTATCTCTTCCTTCGGATTAGAGACGACGATTCGTTCGATTAATTTTTGCGATGCGTGAAAGGATCTTGTTTTTGTTGTGACAGCTGACGTTGTTATGGTTATGGCTGCTATTTTTTTTTTGCTGAACAGCTGATTCGGCTCGTTGCGTTTCTTCTTTACCGACATCAACATTATTTTTCTGTGGATCTCGATCTCGCTTTGGGTGCATGCAGAAGGGCGGAGTCGTTTTCGAATGTTTATTAACAACAAACCGCGTCCGCGGGGATTGTTTCTGGATTTCTAGATTAATTTGTAATTTGTTGTTTTATTGGTTACAATAACCGGTTATTATAAACTATCAAAGTTTATTTGAATACCAAAAGCAAAATCGAAGAAGTGTAGTTAGTTGCATATTCAACGAAAGTGTGTGTCTACTTCCGGTTCCGTCATCTCGTCCAAATCCATAAGCATGAGCAACTGCGAATGGACCGTCGAGGAAACGACCCTGCTGATCCAGAAGCGGCTGGAGATGTTTAGAGGCGCCCGCAGCGATAAGGTCTACGATCAGATTTCAGACTACCTGGTCCAGAAGCACAACATCCATGTAAAGCGCGGCCGGTACTGGGATAATCGGTAGTTTGATAATTTTCTGTTTTTTTTTTCTAGAAAAATGCATCCGCTTGCCAGTCCCGGTTCAACAATGTCCTGAAAACGTACCGGCTGTGCGTCAAGCGACTGACGAAGGACAGTAATAGTATTCGCAAGATGCGATTTCCCTTCTTTGATATATTCCACCAGTATTACACGAACAAGACGGACGAGGAGAATGCGAGCAGTAAATGCAAATCGGAAATCTTCCTGGTTGACATCTACGAGGACAGTGACGGTGAAGAAGGCGGTAGCATGATGATAGATTCCAGGCAGACGGATATTCAAAACGAACATGATGGGCATGCCGAGCTGACGGCGAATAACGGATTAAATGATTTGAAGTTGAGATTGATGGAGCAGAAGTTGCTCTACTACACGAATCAGAACATGCTGCAGCAGGTCAAGCAGGAACACTACCGACAGGAGGAGCAGGAACGTGCCCGAGAACAGTTGACGGACGAAGAAATACAAAAGGTTCTTCGGGGAATTCATTCGTGTTTGATAAAGAGTCAGGATGTGAAAATCGTACCGCCGCCGACGAAGAAAGTGGATGACAAAGTCGCTCCACAACTTGAAAAGCCGAAGATTACGAAAGAAATGGAAGGTGTCAGTTTGGTGATTCCGATCGAGGTGGAATCCGGTGAGGAGGTGGAGGATGAATTCAACGGGGAGGCGTGGTCCGCTAGCGCGGGAAGCAGCGAGGAGGTAATCAACAAGGCGGAAAAGGCCCGGCTGAAAGTGCGGAAGAACATCTTTCCCGCGTGGAACCGGATCCAGACGGTACTGCTGATCAAGATCCACTGCGATCTTAGGCCAAAGTTCAAGGGGTTCAATTTATTCGAGTGCATCTCGAACAAACTGATTGAACTGCACATAAATGTAATTTGCTTCCCATCATCAACGACTGGAGCAAAGGTTTTCAAGGTTTTATATTTGCAGCGAACACCCAGAGACTGTCGGACGCGATGGAACAATCTTTTCCGGAGCTACAAGGAATGTAGATCAAGACTGCAACTGAACGGTAAGGCCGTTGTTAAGTTTGAATACTTTGACGAGATTGATGCCTACTACAAGGATCAGCAGTTTCTATCGATGTAAAGGAGGTGATTGGGGGGTTTGTACAACTGTCCACATAGTATATATAGACAGCCCTCAAAAAGTTGATGATTTATATGTTTTATACTACATAAACGAAAAAAAAGTCGCTTCAAGCTAAATGAAGAGTGGCAAACATTTTAGAGAAAGCCCTGTCCTGATCTAAGAAAAAGTTTGTGACCCATTGAAGGCATTATATAAAAATATATTAAATTTCGACTATGTGAACACCCCCCAAATCGCGATTAGAGCCATATTTAAGGAGATAAATCGATTTAAAAGTTTGGAAAGTCCACCAGCCAACAAATAAAGGATTTTTAAATATTTTATATTGGGAAATCCGGGTATTGAAATTTCGACCATCTGAACACCCCCCAAATCGCGATTAGAGCCATATTTAAGGAGATAAATCGATTTAAATGTTTGGAAAGTCCACCAGCCAAGAAATATAGAATTTTTAAATATTTTATACCGGGGAATCCGGGTATGACAATTTCGACCATCTGAACACCCCTTAAATCACGATTAGAGCCATATTTAAGGAGATAAATCGATTTAAAGGTTTGGAAAGTCCACCAACCAAGAAATATGGAATTTTTAATTATTACAGTTTGGGAAATCCGGGTATTAAAATTTCGACCATCTGAACACCCCCCAAATCGCGATTAGAGCCATATTTAAGGAGATAAATCGATTTAAAGGTTTGGAAAGTCTACCATCCATCAAATATAGAATTTTTAAATATTTCATACTGGGAAATCCGGGTATTAAAATTTCGACCATCTGAACACCCCCCAAATCGCGATTAGAGCCATATTTAAGGAGATAAATCGATTTAAAGGTTTGGAAAGTCCACTAGCCAAGAAATAAAGAATTTTTAAATATTTTGTACTGGGAAATCCGGGTATTAAAATTTCGACCATCTGAACACCCCCCAAATCGCGATTAGAGCCATATTTAAGGAGATAAATCGATTTAAAGGTTTGGAAAGTCCACCATCCAAAAAATATAGAATTTTTAATTATTTTACTTTGGGAAATCCGGGTATGAAAATTTCGACCATCTGAACACCCCCCAAATCGCGATTAGAGCCATATTTAAGGAGATAAATCGATTTAAAGGTTTGGAAAGTCCACCAGCCAACAAATAAAGAATTTTTAAATATTTTATACTGGGAAATCCAATTGAAAAAATTTCGACCATCTGAACACCCCCCAAACCGCGATTAGAGCCTTATTTCAGGAGATAAATCGATTTTAAGGTTTGGAAAGTCCACCAGCCAACAAATAAAGGATTTTTAAATATTTTATACTGGGAAATCCGGGTATTAAAATTTCGACCATCTGAACACCCCCCAAATCGCGATTAGAGTAATATTTAAGGAGATAAATCGATTTAAAGGTTTGGAAAGTCCACCAGCCAACAAATATAGAATTTTTAACTATTTCATTTTGGGAAATCCGGGTATAAAAAATTTCGACCATCTGAACACCCCCCAATTCGCGATTAGAGCCATATTTAAGGAGATAAATCGATTTAAAGGTTTGGAAAGTCCACCATCCAACAAATATAGAATTTTTAAATTTTTTTATATGTACTGGAAAATCCGGGTATGTATTTTGAACTTTTTTTTCAATGATGTATCATTCCAAGAGCAAATTTTCATTACGTCGAATGTAACAAAGGTAAACAAAGTCGAGCTATCAGTGTCAATCGATTCTCCTGCTATTACACTATATACTGTCCGAATATAGGATCAAATCCCATTTTTAAATTTATTTGCCAGTCAAATTGCTTTTTGACGTAATCACCTTCCGATCAAAATAGTTTTCGATGTTACTTAAGTCACCCAATTTCTATGGAGATGCCGTTTGACTTAAGTAACAGTGCTGAGAAACCCGTGAAAAGTGTACGTTCGTCGTTTCGCTTTCTCATTATTAAAGTGAATAAATCGAACTGTTTGTTGCTAAGATGATTTCGGTAGTCCTAAAATGATGAATGGGCTGCACGTAAGGAGACGTAATTGATAATTCTCCCGAATATCCTGGTAAATACACTTTGACTTAAGTAACAATAGGGGCCACCAAACGACGTATAATAACTTATTTTTTAGCATGAAAGCTAGCGATTTGCATTTGTATGATTAAAACCCTGCTAAATATGTTAAACATTGCTATCACTATGAGATTATATGTGTTTACTTGGAAATAGGAATAACTTTTCGGTCATCAAAACAAAACTTTATTTTTCTCGGATTGGTGCGAATGTTACTTACGACATAATGAAAATTTGCTCTTGAAGGTCTCTTGACTGGTAGTTTGACGTTGCATCGCGCACAGCTCTATACGCAACAAAAATAACCTTTCATGCAACAATCATCAGCTGACATCCGCTTGCCAAACACGGACGACACACACACACACACACACACATTTTTTTGCGAGGGTCATTCGTCTGTAAGCGCTTTTCATTCATGCGTAAGTTTTGTTTACGAATTTGTCTTCACGGACGATGAGATCAACACAAAATTGAGTTCAATTCGACTACCAATAGTGGATTTGCTCGCGAAGTGAGTAAAACTTCTCGAATATGACGAAAATCTAGAAGTTCTTCCTGGAAAAGCTCGGAAAATTTTACTCGCACTGCAGAGCAAATCCACATTTTGCAAAAGTGAGTCGAATTCAACTCAATTTTGAGTTGATCTCACCGTCCGTGTGTTCTTCGCAACGTCCCACCTTGCACGTCCGTTGCGTTGTCGGTAGTTGTTTAACGTCTACGACTAGCGGTATTAGTTGTAGAAAATAATTATCAGAGTAGGTGTTTTCGTACTAATTTCTTCGTGTAGCAAAAATCGTACAATGGAGCACTAATAGGTGAATATACAGGTAAACACCAAAACAAAAATTTCGCACCCGTCCAAGTAGTGTGGGTGTGTGCCCGATTCGGGTGGTGTTGGTGTGACGTACGGTTGTTGTTGGTTTGTGTACGCTCTGTTTTCAACGTTCTCAAAGTCCTCGTCATCGTAGTCTCGTAGTAAATCGCCCGCGATGTAGTGTTTCAGCAGCAGTGACTAGTAACGGGTCGTGTGGGTAGAGGTTGCAAATTACGTTTGTTATTTTCGCACCCGATATGGTGGACATAAAAGTGGAATAGGACCAGAGTAGTGTACGATTCGAACAATAAAGAACAAAGTTTCCCATGTGTTTTCCCCTCACGATACTCGGATTATTGTGCTTTGGATAATGATGGGGCGCTAATACGGTGTCAAGAGTGTTTTCTACGTCGTGGAATCCTTGTACAGGCAATCAAGGCTAGAAGAGGCTACAGCAGCAGGTGATTACCTAAGAGGTAAGTCATTTTCTTATGGTTGTTATTGTTCTTCCGCACACATAAGCTAAATAATAGCAGTAATTTGCTGCTCTCGACCTACCGTTAGGAAGTTAACTGATAACAGGAGCTATTCGAGAAGGAAGAGGGTAGCACTCAAACTATGCGAAGATATTCTCAGTCAGGTTTATGTAATCGTTTTTTTTTTTACACACACGGGCTGGTTTTTTATTATATATAGGTTGATTGATGAAACCACATTACGGAGCTCCGGAGCCGGGGATTAAATTTTGCGCTGCTTCTAATCTACAGCTAAATCTTTGATTATCATTTCAGCCATACTACATCAAAGCACTGAGAATGATGATAAGCATGTGTGTGACTGCCAGGTTCCAAAGGGCACCTCCAGTCTAATCCAGGCATGTGTGTCACGTTTTATTATTCATTCGATGATGACGACGACGAGCAGAGCCAAGCAAACGAGGGTTCAAATGTCTATATTGATGGCACTGTGGCAGTCAGCAATTTATCAGTTACCTCGTTACGCTCTTGCTCTTGCTCTTCCGTCCACACCAGAGAAATGTGTCTCCAATTGTGGGAGTTTGTCGATCTATTTATAGAGCAAGAAGTTGTAGGAAATTGAAAAGTCCAATGTCCGATCCGTTAGGTGCGCCAGCCATTGGTTATTTATTGCCCGTCCTATGACATTCGGGAAATGGAGTTTTTTTTTCGATTATTGTCCTTAAGAGTGTGAAAATTTACCACGGGCACAATCATCGCTTGGAAAACGAGCAATAGTATAGTCTTGTTTACCCATCATCGAGTTTTGCCAGGAAACGAGCAGAACAGGTACCATTGCCAAGCGATTTGCCACTTCCACGGAACGGTGACTGAAATGTAAACGGTTTTCATATTAAAAAAATAAGATTCGTGAAAAGATTAATCGGATAAAAGATTAATAATTAAAAGATTAGTATCGGTGTTAGCTGTTGTAGCACTGCGTAGTTTAATTCATTGCCAACTATCGGATGAAAATAGCTGGAAATTCAATCTATGGCACAGTTTCATTTAGTGAATTTTCACTTATAGTTGGCAGATAGAACATTTTCAAATAAACCTGCTATTCCAACAGACTTATTTCTGACAGACAATGAATTAGTTTTGACAGGCAGAGAAAATTAACTAAAAATGGAACACTGTCTTAGTGTCGAGGCGGGACGCTACTTGGAGTATTCTGTAATAGCAAAACCGACTCAACTAGTTCTATCAGGCCTATTCTGCGCGGCGTGTGAGGTGAGGAGATGGTGAAGTGACAATTGTCACCTCGGGTGAGGTAACTCTCTGTTTGAATTGCACGGAGTCTCATCTCACCCGAGGTGACAATTCTAGATAGAGCTGGAATTAGGGCGTAACAGCCTTTGTAAACAATGACTTCTCTCGTTGATTTCTAGGAATTCAAGGCACGCCTACACAAACCAACACATCCATCAAGTACGGGAAGTCTTCCCCTACTCGATGGTGATGTCGATTTGCCAGGGAGAGCCATGACATTCGAGAAATCCTCGAGAGAAGTAATTGTTTACAAAAGCTGTTACGCCCTAATTCCAGCTCTATCTAGAATTGTCACTTCATTTGCACCATCACTGTCACCTCACCTCGCACGCCGCGCAGAATAGGCCTATATAAGTTAAGTCCAATTGTTCGAATTGGAGGAAGATTTGCGCTGTCGGAATCGATTTCGTTTGGCAAGAAATTTCTGATAATTCTTCCCAAACTTATTACTAGTATGATCATCCAACACTGCCACGAAAACTATGGCAATATTTTAAAAACTAATTAGTGAAACGGAGCGAGTCTTCACCAAAAATAAGACTTGCTCATTGTGCTGCACAATACAGGTACTCACATATATTGCAAATTTATTTTTCGTCCCCCCCTATTCTGCGAGTCACGTGACTCTCTCTCACCGGTGAGGTGACAAATGTGACAGAGTCGAGCGACTCGCAGAATAAGTGGGATTGAATATGCCGGACTTTGGACTAAAATATGAAAACCGAAATTGAGCTAAACAATTTTCGGGATAAATCGAAATTACCATGCAATTCATTTCAGGATTCCCATTATATTAATCCAAATGTATCTTGGAATTCTGCTTATGAAATTTTTCATAAACTTACTCGAAATTCTTCGAAAAAATTACTTTGAATGCTCCTTTGAAATATGCATATTCACGCACTCGTGCTCACACTCACAACGGCGAAAAATCATTCTAGCTTAAAACTCAGAGAAACCTATTAAACGTCAAATGGCATCAATCGCCTGATGCAAAAACAATAGTTATAACTGACGATCAGCGAAATAAAAGTCCGAAAAAGGAACACCAGCAGAAATAAAACGCGACGGATTTAACTGCACGGAAATTGTACTTTATTGTCTGCTCTACTCAAGTGAAAAGATACGAATAAAAAAAACGTCACAGCGAAGTGCATCTGTTGTTGGTATTGGTGTGAACATCGAGGTAATGACACGCTGATCTCAGGTTAGGCAGAAGGTGGTCATTGTTTACTCCCACACTCCCCCTCAATGAACACCGACCATCAATGGCCGAGGCCCATTCGCTCCAGCATTTCCCGAAAACGGACGGCACCCAAAGGTTTAGTGAGTGCATCCGCAGTCATTTCATCTGATGGACAGTAGACAAGCTCTAAGTCTCCTTGATCGCAGAGATCCTTCACGAAGTGCTTCTTGGTATCAATATGTTTTGATCGTTTGCTGGTACGCTCCGCCTTCACAAAACTGAGGCAACTCTGGTTGTCCTCGAATATTGTTGTCGCCTTGCTGGTATCCTCGCCGATCTCGTTGAACAGTCTGCGTAACCAGACCAGTTCTTGGGATGCTTCGCTCAGTGCTACATATTCGGCCTCCATTGAGGACAAACTCACACATGATTGGCGTCGACTAACCCAGGTAACAGGCCCCGATCCGAAGAAGAAGATAAATCCTGTAGTCGATCGTCTGCTATTTTGGTCACCAGCCCAGTCGGCGTCGGAGTAGCCAATTAGATTCCATTCATCTCCTCGTCCGAATTTCAGTTGAAGCTGTTTGGTCCCTTTCAGGTACCTAACGACACGCTTAGCTGCTTTCCAATCCCTTTCTGTTGGTCGGCTCACACATCTTCCGAGAATAGAGACGCATGCTGCTTTGTCCGGTCTGGCGTTGACCGCGACATACAAGAGGCCCCCAACTAGACTGCGATATCTCGTTGCATCCACAAGCTGATCACTGTCTTCCCCTGCGCGCATGTATCCTGCTTCCATAGGCGTCTTCGATACGTTACAATCGGTCAACTCAAACTTGCTGATTAATGTCTTAATGTAGCTGGTTAAACGGATGCTGTAGTAACCTTCATCACGCAGAACTTCCAATCCAAGAAACTGTCGCACCGGTCCTAGGTTGGTTGCTTCGAATGCATCACGTAGGGCGTTATAAACGGCACGTATTTCACTCTCATCCTTACAGCCTACTAGTAGATCATCAACATATACTATCAGAATAACTGTCTTCTCGTCGTCATGACGCAAATACAAACACGGGTCGGACTGGCATTGCTTGAAGTGCAAGCGAGTCAGTACTTCATGCAAAGCTCGGTTCCAACATCGAGCACTCTGCTTGAGGCCATAGATACTTTTCTTGATCCGACAAACCAAACTCTCCTTCCCAACAGCTTCATACCCGGGAGGTTGGCGCATATAAACCTCCTCCTCCAAAGTTCCGTTAAGGTAAGCGGTCTTTATATCGAAGTGGTGCAAAATCATCTGCCGTTTACCAGCGACTGCCAGAACTGCACGAAGCGTTGCTAGACGAGTAACCGGAGCAAACACGTCCAAGTAATCGATGCCGAACCGTTGATTAAAACCTTGGGCTACCAAGCGCGCCTTATGCTTGATAACCTTGCCGACCTCATTCCGCTTCAGCTTAAATATCCACTTTGATCCTATTACCTTCTTACCTTCCGGCAGCTGCATCAGCTCCCACGTTTGGTTCTCAGCATGGGATAGCATTTCCGCGTCCATTGCTTGCTTCCATTCGGTAATCTTGACAGCATCTTTGCAACACGTCGGCTCTTCCATGGAACACTCAGCTACGCCGACAACGAAGTCATCATACCGACTCGGCAGTACACCACGCGATCTACGATCTTCACGTCGTAATTCACGATCCTCCTCATTAATAATGACTTCTGGATCTGATGTTTCCGCTTGATCTTCGGGGCAAATCCAAGAAAAATCCTCTTCACTTGATCTGTCTGTAGCATCGTCCCAACCTTCGAAGCTGCTGTCACTACACAGCTCTCCTTCCGGCTCCAACGGTTTACACGAGATCTCAATCTCCTGCTCAGACTCCTTGCGAGCTGCGTCTGGCTGCTGATGCTCCCCTAGCAGCACACTTGTCATTCAACTGTTGTGGTTACTTGTATGCACCCTATTTCAGTCACAATCAAGTTGCAGCAACCTATTTTGATGGATGTGTGTTGCTTGGGTCCGATCCATCACCGTGCTCGAGAAACTTAGCATCGCGACTTATAGTGATCCGATTTGTAGTTTGGTCGAGAAACCGGTAACCCTTATGATCTTCGCTGTACCCGACAAAACGTAGCTTAACTGCTTTCTGGTCCAACTTTGATCGATCCGGGATGTGCACGTAGGCTTCACAGCCGAAAATACGGAAATGTCCTATGTTCGACTTCAGGCCAGTCCACAACTCAAACGGTGTTCCTTTAACCACTCGAGAAGGCAGCCGGTTCTGCAGGTACGCTGCCGTCATAACTGCCTCACCCCAGTACAGCTTGGCCATGTTCGCATCCGCCAGCAAACAAATCGCCATCTCCTGCAACGATCTATTTTTCCGCTCGGCGACCCCGTTTTGTTGGGGTGAATACGGAGTCGTGAGCTGTGCTTTTATCCCTTCGCTTTCGTAGAATGTTTGCAGTTCACGGTTCACAAACTCACCGCCTCCGTCTG